AGAAGAAGAAGAAGAAGAAGAAGAAGAAGAAGAAGAAGAAGAAAAGGAAGAGGAGGAAAAGGAGGAGGAGGAGGAGCAATAGCAGCAGCAACTGCTCCCTATTAGCCATTGTTTTCAGCAAAACTGACAGCTGCTACATTTTTGGTTCATAAATATATAACAAAGGTTCGAACCCAAGTCAGCCGTACGGTCGTCAAGAATTTCTTTTTGAACTTGCAAAGTACGTGGCAGAATCGTATCAGCAATGTTGAGTTGGAAAACTATGTCCTTCGAAGCGGTACTCCTTTTTACATGCTCGTTTCTCTTCTCCTCAGATTCTCCTCGACCTCTCCGTCATCGTATTTCGTGATAACCACCATCAACGTCACAACCATTGTTCCATTCTTGGGGTGTCAAACAGCCCCTTTTGATTTTTCTTCCAACTGTGATACACTACGACGCGGCTTTAACCTTTCATCACTGACCAATAAAAAAAAAATTCATAATGGATCCTGAACCGGAGACTTTTGATGAACTTGACGTAGATCTAGAGCCTGTACAAGAGGGAACTGCACTATTAGGGGAGTCAGCTTCTGATGTCTTCATGGCAAACGATGAACCGCCAGCCTTGGGTCAACAGAACATTGATGCAGTTGACACCGGCGTCGAGAAATCGATGGTTTCAGAAAGCAGTTCTCGTGTCGTTGGCGAAGAGGGCGTGGCTGAAGAAACCAGCTACAACGAACACCTGCGAGGGAGTGAACAAAATGCTGAGGAAATGTCCCTGTATTCGGAGGGTGCGGAAAAAAGGGGCGGTCTCGACGAAGAAGAGGCGGGGCATCCAGAGGGGGAAATATATGAAGAAGCGTCACCCCAACTTAGGGAATACGAGGAGGAGGAACAAAATTCTCCTCTAGAGGCTGAGAAGGTGTCATCAGAGGGTATCGGACATGTATCAACAGAAGAGGCGGGACTGTATGGCCTTCCACACACGGAAGAAGACAAACAGAAAGAAGCACCACTTAGAATAGAGGAACCAGGGTCAGCAGAGGCAAGAGATGACACCGCAATGGATTATTCTGAACAGGCAGCGGAGTTTGTCGCAGGAACTGGCAAAAATCAGGAAATACCTAGCATTATGGTTGACAGTGGAGATGCAGAGGAGGCAGAAAACCGTGTTCTTGCCGTAGAAAATCACTTACAAATGGTTGCCGTGCCGTTCAACCCGCTTCCAGTTGAGGTGACAGTACAAGTACCAAACTCTCAAAATGTGCACCCTCCTCCTTTGAAGGAAACGACAAATCAGCAGCGTCCAAAACGTGCCGTGATCCGACTGGCCGAGGTGATGTACAAAGCCCACAGAGGGAGTGTCAGGCAAAATGCAGATCTGTCGGTGTTGGCTTATGCCGGACCGGATAGAGAGAGAGTGAAGGACGAAAGGTAAATGTTATAAATTTGGGAAAACTGGATTTGTTCGATATCTAATTTACTAGTCACAAACATATGTGTGCGGAATGAGGGCTTTGTTGTTGCTGCTTTTGATTTCTCTATCGTTTTTGTTCTGCTGCTGTTATAGATGTTGTTGTTATTGCTATTGGGTTTTTAAAAAAATAAGAAGCATTTTTTAAAATTATTGTAAGTTCTGATACCGCTTCACTTTCTCTTTCTTTCCATTCTGTTGCTGCACTATGTCATCAGTCCCTTATGCCACTTTCCTATTCCTATATAATCTTTCTCCCAACTCTTCACCTGTCTTTCTCACTCATCTTAATCACCCTAAAATCTTCTACTCCCCACCACCTTTTTCATCCTTTCCTCATACCTCTACTCATGCACAGTTACAGATCATACCTTTACTCTCCCCCCACCCCCTTTCATTTCAGTCCACCCAGCTTCCCATTTCCATCCTTTCCCCAATCCCTCTCCTATCACTCTCCAGTCCGTCGCACCATCTCTAGCGCATCCCTCTCCCTAGCCTACCCTCTCTTCCGACTACCGTCCCCTCATCACCGCCCCCGCTCCTTCCCAACCCCAGCTCTTGACATTCCCTGTATGCCACCTTGACGAAAAGGCTAATCTAACAACGTGTTGTCTCTGTAGCTCATAGGTCATCCAAGTTGGCGGCTGCCACCTCAGACATTTCTCACACATCCCAACTCATTACTCGCCTTGTTGGCATAAGAAGAGCATCCATGAGTTGTACAATACGCCAGCAACATTGGACAAGGAAAAAAACATTTTCCTGATTAACCGGATTTTGGTTGCATCCATGGCGTTCTTTACGACCATAGATTTCAGACAGAATATAGTTGTTTTTTTTTCAGCAGCATGCACATATCGTTATTATTTCTTTTTTTTCCATTGCCATATATATATAT